TCTTCATCCTCACAACCTGAGGCAATGTGTAAGTTAGAGAGATCATTGTATGGTTTGAAGCAGTCTCCACGAGCATGGTTTGGCTTGTTCACTTTGGCGATGAAGAGGTATGGATATTCCCAAAGTGACTTAGATCACACATTGTTTCTAAAACGACATCAAAGGAAGGTAACAATGTCGATTATCTATGTTGATGATATGATTATCACTTGAGATGATTTGATAGAAATATCTAAGCTCCAAGAGAAACTTTCTGAGGAATTTGAGATGAAAAATCTTGGGGGGTTGAAATACTTCCTAGGGATTGAAGTAGCGAGGTTGACAGGGGAAATATTTCTCTCACAAAGAAAGTATGTGCTAGATTTATTGGCAGAGGTGGGAATGTTGGACTGCAAACCTACAGACTCACCAATTGTTCAGAACCATAGACTTAGGGAGTATCCAGATCAAGTGCCAACAAATAAAGAAAGATATCAAAGGTTAGTTGGCAAACTAATTTATCTATCGCATACTCATCCTGATATTGCATATGCGGTGAGTATTGTTAGCCAATTTATGCATGCCCAAAATGAAGATCATATGAATGCAGTGTTGCGTATACTTCGCTACTTGAAGTATTCTCCAAGACGAGGTTTGAGGTTCTTAAAAAGGGGTCATCTTGAAATCGAAGGATTTATTGACGCAGACTGGGCCGGGAGTGTTCATGACCGAAGATTAACTTCAGGATACTTCACTTTTGTTGGAGGAAACTTAGTTGTTTGGAGGAGCAAGAAACAAAAAGTAGTAGCATTATCAAGTGCAGAGGCTGAATTTAGAGGGATGGCCAAAGGGGTGTGTGAGCTCCTATGGCTTAAGAAGTTAATGTCAGAGATTGGGTTCGCTCCCAAAGCCGAGATGAAGTTGTTTAGTGATAACAAAGCAGAAATTGATATCTCTCATAATCCAGTTCAACATGATCGTACCAAACATGTTGAAGTAGACCGTCATTTTATCAAGCAAAACTTGGACGCCAAAGTGATTCAATTTCCATTTGTACGATCTGAAGATCAGTTGACAGATATTCTGACGAAGGCTGTATCAAGCAGGATCTTCTACAACTCACTTGACAAGTTGGGCATTCACGACATCTATGCACCAACTTGAGGGGGAGTGTGAGAATGAGCTGTAAAATATATTTATGATTGTAATTAGCTAGAATCAAGGATTATAATTAGCTAGTTTAGAGAATATATTTTTTAAGATTCTTTCTTTTCTTTGTATATATATATACGCCTCTAGGTCATTTTAAACTAATGAAGAAGATATACAGAAGAGTGAGGAATGTTATTTTCTTCCTCGAAATATCTTTGTGTTAACAGAATCAAGAAGAAGAAGAAGAAGAAAAAGGGAGACTCCTCGACGCGCAAGGTAAAAAGTAAGCCGAGAAGAATTGGAAATTGTACAGTCTTATTGCGTATGCGGTTTTGATTCTGTACGCATAATCTGACTCAGTCTAGTGTGGTGACTCACCTACCTATCTATGCGATTAGCACACACACATATATGTATAGAGAGATAGATAGTCTTCAATCCTGGGCCATCTTATAAATAAACATAAATTCTTTGTTTTAATGTAATTTTTTGTTTAAATATTTTATTGCAATTTCGAAATAAATATTAATATTTTCGTAATATTAGAGTAAGGGGAGCTATTTATTTCGTTTAGTACCATCAATCATAATTTCATAGACTGTGTGATAAATTATTTGGTTAATACCACGAAAAGCCCTAAACTAGTACAAATGTGATAAATTTATCTCAACTAATATTTTGATCACCAAAAATCCAAAAATGACACACATGTGACAAATTAAAGTTTACCATCAAATTGCTAAGTTAGATAACACGTAGCAGTATCCTTCGTTAGTTTCCGTTAAATTTTACCATCAAATTACTGAATTAGATGACACGTGGCAATTGATAGGTGTATCAATTTAGGGTTTTACCCATCTGTTTGTCACAGGTTTACCAATTTTTTTATTTTTCGTGATATTAATCCAATTTAATGAAGGTTAAATTTATCACAAGTGTACCAATTTGGGGTTTTTACTTGTCAAAAAATTAGTTTGAGGTAAATTTATCACAAGTGTACCAGTTTGGGGTATATTCTAGTCAAAAAATTAGTTCGAGATAAATTTGTCACAGATGTACCAATTTGGAGTTTTTCGTGGTATTAACTCTAAATTATATATACCTTACAAAAAAAACTCTAAATTATATATGATTTATTAAAATTATTTTATCTTTCAAATTAAGTGATTTATTTATTTAGTGTAATTTTTCTTTTGGACTATATCAAATTACTTGAAGAAAATCAATTATGCTTTAATTAGCAATTATAAATTTATCGATAATAAATATATTTAGAGTGAGATTTGAATTATTTTTTTTACGTTTTTCTATTTTAATTTTTTTGTTACTTTTCCCTTTTTTCATTGATTTCATAGTGTTGCGTTTGTTTACCAAAATATTTAGATCTATAATATTAAGATCGGATTTTGTAATATTTGTTTTTAATATAAATAGTAGAACATTCATTATCCTCACTTAAAATTTCAAACTTCCCCCCTTGCTATATTTTTAATTATAAATATGGTTTATTTGCACTGAGAATCGAGAGTATCATTTTGAATAGATATATTTATCCTCAAAAGCTTATCCAGAATCTCCATTAACATTTCATGAATAATAGAATGTAAAAAATACTTCATTCAAAGAGAGTAGATAATCAAAGCAAGTAGACTTACTTTTTTTTTTCTTTCTATCATTTCCTCAAATCTAATCCTACTTTTCCTTTTCCTTGAAACTCTTTCCATTTCGTATGAGAAATTTGTCATGTTTTATTCTTTTTTTTTTATTCAGTCCTTTGTAAAGGGTTAAACCAACGCCTAAGTTCATCTCTTTTTACTCATTGTTTTATCTTTCGTGGAATTAATATTGAGATAAAAGACAAGATTTGAATAATAAATTATTAAATCAAAACTCATGGACTTGTTTCTTATCAATTTATTTTGAAAATTTATTATCAAATTAAATGGATGTTTAAATAGAACTATTCCCACTATTATTTTCAATTAAGTGATTTTTTTTGAAAAAATATAAGAAACATTTAAAATAAGTGAATTTTCAAAGCAGAAAAAAATAAAATGTTAATTTGTCTACGCCTTAAAGAAAAAGGCTACATTGTTTTGCAAGATAATGGATTTCAAAATAAAAAATAAAACTACATAAAATATTAACAATATTACTCAAATTTAACAAAATTTATTTTTGTTTTTGTAATATCCAAGTTAGAGCATTTATTTATATTGATTTTTCCTTCATAATTAACTTTTGTAAAAGTAAAGAACACTATGAGTTTCGATTTCTTTTAAACTTGGAAAATAAATTATTCAAATAAATTATAAAACGTGAGAATTATATGAAATTAGATGAATATTATTAGTGTATTTCTACACTAGATTTTATTGTCTTTTAAACTTGAGTGTATGTCTTTATTAGGTGCAATTTGTTTACTTAATTTAGAGCATTGAAAGTTATGAAATTTGTTGCGAAAGTGCATTCGGGATTTAAAACGTGTCAAATTTGACTAACGGAAATGTTGACATGACTTTTTTTCTTACTTTTTTAAGACACATGACACCCACCAAATGCTATATAAAAATAATTGAAATTGTAGAAAGAAAAAGAAAAAAAGGATAAAAACTTCAAAATTAAAAAGAACAAAAATTCAAAAAATAAAAAGCTAAAAATTTTAAAAAAAAAAGGGATAAGAATTAAACTAAATTATGTGATAGACTCGTGCCAAGCGATGAATATGGCCATTAATATAAACGTCAGGTTGCTGATATACCACGTCTCTTAATAGGGAGAGGAGGGTTTATTTCCATGGATTTTGAACATCTCCTGCTACCACATTTTTCACCGTTAGATTTATGCTGTGTGGCAACACAACACTCGAAAAAAAAAAAAACTGCAGCCTCCTCCATCTGTCCCTTTCTCTCTCTCTCCCCTCCCTCCCTCCCCTCTGCCCTGCATTGTCCGCGAGCCACCACCACCGTGGCCGCCAACATGCCGTCTTCGACGTCTCCCATGACCTTGTGGTTGGCATCCGAGTGCGATATCTATGCCACCGAGCCTCTTCGTCAGTGTTTTGTGCTCTCTAAGGTTGCCCGACTCTTCAGTTTAAGGGTTAGCAGTGGCAGCCGACCCACGAAATGCCCAACTACGGTTACTACTGATCTTGATCAGTTGTGATGTAGCTCAAACTCTCATCGATAGAAAGGCACGAGTCCCACTTCTGTAATTGAGAGTAATGTAACAGAGAGATGTGATATGTTAATTATAGTTAAATTATTTATTAAATATAGCACTAGTTTAAGGGTGAATCAGAATAAAACTTTGCACCTTGATTTCTCTTTCTCGATTTTAATCTCTATCTTGTTGTGTTTGTACCCATAATCTTAACACGATTGACCAATCCGAGTCCTCGCCCACAGATTGACCTCGATCCCGAGTTGAGCCGACCCGATCCTTGAGTAAAATGAGCATCAGCCACCAATCCGTACCTAATGACTGTGATTGTCAGATTAGAATCCTACCAAACCACACTAACGATTAAACAATGTCAAATAAAACGAAAAACCCCATCTAATTTTAAACCCACTATGCTAAGTGGAGATCAAATGGGTCGGTTTGATCAAGCCACATGCCGACCCGTTCCCTTGTCTCATCCTTTGGCTCGAACTCTCAGCCACAAAACACGACCACGTTCGACTAGAAAACCTCCCAAAAAGAGCCACCTCACCAGCTCCACTTTCCAAGTCATCAATCATCGAATCTCCACTTCGTCATTCGCTTGTCTTCACGCGAAAAAGAGAACCAAGTCGTGAGCTAGAGAGCGGTATAAATAGGCATGCAGAAACCCGCTTCAACCTCGGACTACTATATTTGGAGATAATACTCATCGTTGACAGTTTCCGCATTTGGTCATTGAAGTTATAGTCTTCTGAAATTTTGATGATTCCGAAAATGGCAGCTCCTAAACTAGCCATGGTCATGGCTTTTCTGCTTCTCACAACTTTAGTTGTTAATGTGTGCGCGAGCAGGGCGGCAAGAAAGGAGTTGGGTGTGGATCTTGGAGGCATAGGGGTCGGCATTGGAGCTGGGATAGGCCTTGGCTTAGGAGGTGGCGGCGGATCCGGTTCCGACTCTGGCTCTGGCTCTGGGTCTGGTTCTGGGTCCGGGTCCGGGTCCGGGTCTGGGTCCTGGTCCGGCTCTAGCTCTGGCTCTGGCTCATGGTCTGGGTCTGGTTCTGGTTCTAGTTCTGGTTCAGGTTCGGGGTCGAGCTCAGAAGCAGGCTCGTATGCTGGGTCATATGCCGGGTCTAGGGCAGGTTCCGGGGCAGACTCCGAAGCAGGATCATATGCCGGGTCCTACACAGGGTCCAGGGCTGGGTCAGGGTCTGGATCAGGCTCAGGCTCTGGACGTGGTGGAGGATACGGTTGAGGGTTTGGCAGAGGTGGAGGATGGGGCTACGGCGAAGGACGTGGATATGGAGGAGGATATGGGAAGGGAGATGGAAACTGAACTGGATGATATGTTTCATCATGCATAGCTAACGGTCTTAATTCGAACTAGACAATCACTACCACCTTTGTATGAGAATAAGTATCTAAGATCGACTAAGAACATCGTCATTCCGTGTCTGTGTGTGTGTTTTCCCTTTTGGGCTAGAGATTGTGTGTTTAAAAGAGTGCAGAAGTTGGGTCAACTTTCTAGAGATGTACTGGGTTGGTTGTTGGAAGGTTTCATTCTCTTGTATCCCAAGCATTTTTCATTGTTAAGAATAATTGATCGTGTAATCATTTGAAAACTACGTTCGCCGATAACGTCGTTGCATACACCTTCCCAAACACGGAAGTCACTCCGAATTCACTGGGCAAAAAATGAGTGTGGAGTATTGTTTCCTTGTCATGTGCGTGCACACCTCCTGTTACTATCTTATCGATCGTTAGAACATCGGAAATTGGCAGATCAAAATCTTGAAAAAAAAAATAGATATACATGAGACAGTTGATAAAGTATCAAGAAAAAAAGAAATGCAATTTTCTTTGTGAGATGCGAGATCCTCCTTAGATCAGCACTGCTTCACTTGCTAGGGCCATACATCCAGTGCCTCAAAAGAACATGATTTAATAGAGTTCATCCACTATTGGCAAAGAAAAATGGGGGACAGTTTATTTCTTTGCATTTCGTTCTCTTCTCCCTTTCCTATTGAATGTTGGGCAGCGTCTTCAAATGACATTAAGCAACTTTTTTTGTAAAATCAACAAATTGACGTATCAAAAACAGGAACAGGAAAGGATAAAACCGGGTGATTATCTATTTGAATACTATTATTAGTATATCAAGTTATTATTGCAAACTATAATTTTCAAGCTCAAGAAATTTCACTACTGACAGCTAACATGATGTTTCTCAAGTAGTTGGAATAAAATGTATCCTAATCTTGGTCATTAGGGGTGATGGTTGGTTTGGTTCAGATCCTCACTAATATCATCGACGCCTTGTGCGGCCCACCTCGCGGAGCTCGGGGCAGATGGTGGCTTTGATGCCGCAGCGCTCGCCGATGAGGAGGCCCTAGTGGAAGATGTGCGAGAGGGAGCTCATCATGTTGTCGAGCTCCTCCTCCTTCATGTCGAGGAGGGTGTTGGCCACGAAACCCAGCTCGGCTATCTTGGAAACCATTAGGTACCTTATCTCGTACGCCTCGAATTGCTCCTCCAGCCCTCCCATCGTTCTCAAGCTTTCTGTTGTAAAATCGGCAACGCAGTAGAAGCGGGTCGTAACTTTGTAATTAAGTCGGGAGCTATAGAAATTCGATGGAGAAATAAAACGAGGAACAATAAAAGGACACGAGAAATTTACGTGGTTCGGTCTAAATGTCGAAACTTACGTCCACGGAAAGAACCGGCAAATGATCCACTAATAAATCAGAGAATTACAAGATTACAATCACTTACGCTCAAGTGTTTTTCAGCCGTAATATATACCAAATTCCCAGTATTTAATAGCTCAACTCAATGGACTTGATTCCGTACAAATCTCTCTAAGTTCACGCCTCTATTCGTTTCTTGAGCTCTCTCTCCTCGCACTATTTAGAACTCCCAATGAGCTCTCTCTAGTTGTACACAAAGAGGCGCCCGCCCCCATCTATTACGCATGAAGTAATCTTCCCTTCTTTTCGGTTGCCAGAGGAAATCAATGAATAAAACAAAAACAAGCCCACGCCTTTTTTATAGTTATATAATATTGTCAAAAGTAGGGCCCCCTTCATTTATGTGGGCCCCCTGCCCTTTCTCTCTTCTCCTTCTTCTCTTCTCCTTCCCTTTCTCTTCTTCTTCCTTCTTCCTTCTTCCTTGGCCCCGACTGGTTCAGCTCCTGCCACTGCTCGCCCGACCGCAACCCGCCACTGATCGCCCCGCCGTCCGCCTCGCGCCGCCGTAGCCCCGACTGAGCTGCGCCGCCGCTCGTCAGCCGCCCGCAGTCCCGTCGGCCGCCCCGGTCGCCTGGTCACTCCCCTCCTCCCGCCGTTTGCGCGAGCCGCGAGCTCGTCGCCATGACCGCCGCACGCCCAACTGTCGCCGCCGTCACCGCTCGCCAGCCCAGTCGCCGCTCGACCTCCGCCCGCCGCTCGCCACCGCCACTGTCACCGCCGGGCCCCTGCCTCCCTTTCTCTCGGTCTTCTCCTCTTTCACCCCCCGAGCACGCGAGCTCGGCTCGCCGCCGCTTGCTGCCGCGTCCGACGAGCCCCGGCCGCTGCCCAGCCGTCCAGTCAGCTCCCCAGCACCGACCCGATGCCTGAGCGTCGCCGTCGCCGCCGCCGAAAGCCCCCCAGCCGCGCCACCCCTCCTCGGCCACCTTCTTCTTCTTCCTTCGCTTCCCGCCGTCGCCGGGACCAGCTCGCCGCCGCGTCGCCTTGCCAACCCGACGGGACCGGCTCGCCGCCTCGCCGCCGTCGTCCCTGCTGCTTGACGACGACGCTGCTGCCCCCTTGCTCTGGCCGAGATAGTCGCCGAACTCACCGCCGCGCCGCCGTCGCCGCTCGCCCGTCCCGGCCAGCCAGTTCGCCGGCCAGCCAGCCAGCCGGCCGGCCAGCCGTGCCCAGGCCGTGGCCGACTCGTTTCCGGCGAGTCCCGGCGTGCCCAACTCCTCTCGGCCGTGCGCCCGGCGTCGCCGCCCGTTGGCCAGCTCGTCGCTCGTCCCGCTCGGCCCTTGGCCCGTTCCGTTCGGCCCCTCGCCCGTGCACCCGGCGCCCCGCTTGACCGGCCCGGCGCCTCGCCCGTCGCCCAGGCGCGTTGCCCGTTCAGCCGGCCCGTCGCCCGGGCACGTCGTCCATCCCGCTCGGCCGTACGCCCCGAGCACGTCGATTGGCCACCGTGCCCGCGCGCCAGGCACACCGTCCGGCAATCGTGCCCATGTTGGCCGGCCAGCGCGCCCGTCGCGCCCTCGCCCGCGCCAAGTCGTCACTGTTCACCCGGGCCATTTTGAGCCCGTGTGGATTTTTCTCGGGCCAAACTTAGGTAAGTGACTTTCTAAACCCTATTTAGTACTTTGGATATTTTATAGACTTGTCTCGGGTTTAGAACGGTTAGGGCGTGATTTAATTTAATTATATTATGATATAATTGTGCTAATTGGATTGGATAAAATAATAGGCATGATTTGGGTGATCGTATGTAGCCGACTTGAACGTCGGGTTTGGGGATTGATATGGTGAATTGTGAATTGGATTGAGTTGTGAATATGGATCGTTTGATGCAATTGGCATGAAATTGATTGAATTGAATGGCGTGTGCATGCCTGTCGATTTTAAGCCAGGATTGATCGGAGGGCTACGGACTTGGGACGTGTTGACGACGGTCCGTGTGAAGGCATGAATGGCCGGTGTGCCAAATGGATGCGGGCTTGAGACGTGTTGACGGTGGCCCGTTGAAGGTGTGTTGGACCGGGACGTGTTTACGTCGGTCATTGGAAATCAAGCCCGGATTGATCGGAGAGCTACGGACTTGAGACGTGTTGACGGTGGTCCGTGTGAAAACATGAATGGCGGGTGTGCCAAATGGGCCTGAGTCGCAGTAGCGTGGGCAATGAGAATGGACCTGAGGCGCAGTGGCGCGGGTCGTGAGAAAGATGTTCGGCCACGCATGCGAATTGAGTGTGATTGAATTGGTTGGTTAAGCGTGTGATTGAATTGGCTGGTTGAATTAGTTGGATTGATTGAGTGCAAGTGTGGTTGGTGTTTGAGCGATTGTGATGCGTTATTTAATTACTATTATTGCATCACCACATGACGACTAACGTGCAGAGTTTACATGGGCTTGATGGCAAGGTAAGTATAATGATGCGAATTCTATATGTTATAGGGTAGATTGCATGTATGACTTGTCTGGATATGCATTGGCCTACGTGGGGTATAGGGAGTTACTTATTGAGACTCGTTCTTACGGTTATTATATAACCATTTCATATGTCCCGTCCTTGATCATGCCGCCTCGGTATTTTGGGATACCCGAGCATATCGATCACATGGTGACGGAGTATCCAGTGGGGTAGAACCTGGTGTACTATAGGCATGCTAGTGTAGTGCATGTAGACGTGGGCACCGTGAACTGGAAGCCCATGACGTTTTTGGCTTGGCTATATCGAGAGAATGACGAGGAATTGATGGGGCCGATACAAGGGTTTGACGTCCCCCAAGGAGGTTTAGTGCCGGGATTAGGGGACTGGGACCCAATGGAAGTTGTCCCTCCCGATGGTGAAGTTATCGACCCGGAGTTCGTCCCCGAAAGCCCTGACCCGGAACCGGAGTTGGAGCCGATGGAATCTGACTTGGAGCTGGAGCCTGTAGTCGAACCCTCCGAGTCCGAGTCCGACGGAGAGCCCATGGAGTTGGAGTCCGAAGATGAGCCGGTTGAGATCGAAGCTGATACGGAGTCCGAGTCTTCAGGATCTGATCCAGATTGGGCACCGTAGAGGCGTCTAGGTGCCAGGCTTAGAAGCCCTTTTTGGTAGAGCCTTCTTTTTGTGCAGCTCGCTAGCTTACCCTCCCACCTACCTCTTTTTGTTGATCATGGTGGGTCTAATCCTAGGAACCTAATGTCTGACTTGTACGACCGATTGTTGTAAGTGACGGTCTTCTATTATTAGGCTATTATCGGTTTGTGTTATTGTTACCCCTTGTCATTATTAATTGTCTGGGTTGTTTCTATCTATTTCCGCTCGTGCCTAATCTCTGATGTTTGGGTTGGGTCGGCGACGTGCCTGGGACGTTGCATTCAAGTATTGACCATCGAGGGATGATCGCGCGCTCGTAGGGTGCGGGGCGTGACAGATCGTAGCCACAAAAGGCATATAACTTCACATGCTCATGGCTTGGCTTAGGTTTTATACACAATCCCTTTGATGGTCTCTTCATTCCCATTCGATGTGGGACTCTTGGCATTTGCATGAAGACAAGCCAAGAGTCTCACATTGAAGGTGTTCAAGGCAAGCCGAGAGTCCCATATCGAATGAGAACGAAGAGGCATTAGAATTATTGTGTATAAAACCCAAGCCAAGCCTTGTAATTAGAGTTCAATACACCCAAGCCAAGCATTGTAATTAGAGATCAATGCATTTACAATACATGGCAATTAGAGTTCAAATTATTTTATAAAAAAAATTAAATAATGAATTTTTTTAAAAAAAATTTCATTATTATTATTTTTTAAAAAATAATTTGGAACAGGAACCGGGCCCGTAGGCCATGGGCCGGTTCCGGTTCCGAACCGCGGGCCCGGTCAATGGGCTGGGCCCGGATTTGACCGAGCC